ACCTTTTTTGTTTGCATTATCTAGACCTCCTGGCTGGAGTCCTTATAATTTTCTGGAGAAGATGCTGTGTTAGGCTTGCAGCGCTGCTTTTTTATTCAGCTCACGTTAAGCTATTCATATGGCGTGCTGTGTACAAGGTTCTCTGTTGACACCATGCTGGCCGTTCACCGTTCTCAGGGTCGCCGTGCACATGATCGAGGATACCTGCGGGAATGGAATGTTCGAAAAAACAATGTTGCGCTACAATTCCTCCCTCCCCGTGATAAAAACACCCTGAAGGCTTTAAGTTGTTGCCACTGCCGCAAATGGCAGAAAGAATGTCTGCTCACGAGGCCTGAAGCTTCAAATAGCTTCGTAGCTTTCCGTACGCAACACTCAATTTTCCACAAACTAAAATGTCACAGTGCGACAGGCGCCAGCGGGTAGTCGCCGGGGCAGGCGCGGATGGCTGGCCCATCAGCCTACAGCCCTGCCGGCGGTCATGGCTGCGTGTCCCCAGAGCAGAGCGCATTGAGGACAGCGTCGTGGCGGCAGTGTCGGTCGGAGGCATCATTCACCGAGGACGTTGGGGGTAACGGTCTGCATCGCCTCCCCCCCCCCGCACTCCACTACGTCATCAAGGAAAACCAGGCCTGCCGCTATCGGTCGGATCCGACACACAGGTAACACTCTGCATGCCCTCGCAGCAGAAACAGGTTCCTGTGGTCCCGCCGGCTGCGCTAGGCCATGCCGATCGCGCCCGGAATATTCCGGGAGCTGTTGCGATGCGCGTCTCATTGTAAACAGCGGCCGGGGCTGGGTGTGGGCCAGCTCCATCCGGCGGCAACCCGGCCTCTGCTGACTGGTCGACGCATGTGAGGCTGAGTCGGCTGACGTGGTCAGGGAGGAAGAGCGGCACCACGCTCTGGAGGCGCCAGCGAGGGACCGGTGCGGGCTCCGCGGCCGGCACAGGAACGCCGGGACGAACGAAGGAGCGGTGACCCGAAACGCATCTAGAAGCTATTTTTGTTGTCATCCAACAGCATGGAGCCGGTTGTGCATTTTCCCCTAGAGTTGGAGGGGAAATCCTGCGCTGCACCAAGGTTGGGGCCACAATGCCCTTCTCCATCACCCTCCATGAAGCTTGTGCTCTTGACGCAGAACATTTTAATATGGTTCTGTACAGACGCTCCCCGGAACTTCCCGCCCGGCTGCCTGTGAAATGGTGGTCTCAGGTACACATTACCGGAAAGTTCGCTGAAAATCGCGTTAGCTGGTTTACCAGCACATGGTCACAGGCTGCGAAATTTGTGATGTCGTAGCCGTTCGTGTGCTTTAAAGTTCAGGTAGTATCTCTTCTTGCGCTAAAAACAACCAACCCTCCACACACCAGAAGGACATCAATAAAACGAAGACATCAAGCCATCATTGTGGACATTATTATGACTGTTAGAATGATTGCTAGAACCCATAAACCCGAAAAATCAAGATATTAAGGTCCTTCCTACTTGCATCAACAGCCCCAAGCACTTCACATTTCTTGTTGATCCAACGAGGAAACAAATTCAGAGTCATGTCTCGGATTAGACAAATGATCAGATGCATACCATCCAGATAATGAGACACATTTCTCCGGCCTGACGTGGTGGCGGCCGCAGGTGCTCCCGGATGCATTGCCATAATAAAAATCTCTTTTTGTGGCGGCGTTTTACATAAAAGCCACCACGAAAGTTGTGAACGTCATCTTTTGTCTATTCGTCATTACCGATAAGCCTCGACGGTGAGCCATCGATCATTTACGAGCTGTTTTTTTCTGCTGACGCTGCGGCTTGGAATCTCAGTGATTGTAATCTCCCATTTCACGGAGGCCTTCTGTCAGTCGCCTAAGACGCAGTGCTTAACATCAGCACCCCTCCCCACCACCCGGCGCGCAGGCGCCACGGGCCTGCGTCCTCCGCTTTGCACTGCGGAGTGCTCGCCTTCGCCCCCTTGGCGGCCTTCAGCTCAACAGTAACCGATGAAATGGAGCCCAGGTATGTGCCAACACAGTACGGGATATCTGATCACAGTTGACCGCGGTCGTGACCACTGCCACAATTGGCCATGGACCTCAGTCAATATTGTCGAACCTCTGAGTTTTATATACATTTTTTAATTCGTTCAGCGCGCCCGTACGAAGTTTGGTAGAACCAGATGTTCACAGTGACCTGACGTGCACCTTTCTGTAATCCACCTCCCATTATACGAGCCGACCCGGAAATCAATACTTGGACCTTTGGTCGGACCACAGAGGTCGTCGCTGGTCACCATGACTTCGATGATAGTTTACTTATTGAGACAGCACGTCGGGGACATGTGCTTGCGTTTGAGGTATATACTTAGTCATTCTCGTTGATAACGGATCCGCGCGATTTTGGGCAGTACAGCTATTGATTCTACTTCATGGTCGGTTTACAGAAGTAAAGACAGGTGATACCCGGCCGCGGCTTCCGTGCGATGGGGACGGCAGTCCTTCAACCGTCGCGGTCAGGAAGGCATACCTTGGTAGTGCACAGCTGACGTGTGACGCAAATACTGCCGGAATGACTGAAACAGCAATCTTCTGACGGCCCTGAAGATTACAGACGACCATAGGCTGTGGGCTGTGCATGCGTCACCAGGCGCTGGTCTCTGACATATGTGTCAATGACAACAATCGCTCTCGGGCATGCGTATGACAGACAACTCTTTTTGTCGGGCACGCAGCCGCTGAGCGGTTGCACCTTGGAGACTGCGGAAGCAAAGATGGGCTGCCCACTGATCCGCGTCGCGTGCATCCGACCACCTGCCTGCGGTCGTTGGCTCAAAACAGATCTGACGCGAGAAGTTTTACGACAAACACCTGTTTCATGATACGTGCAAAAAAACAGCGTCCTTATGCCATGTTTAAGATGTCAACGTGGGATACTTAAAAGTTAGTTGCATGAAACTTCGCACCTGCCGCTTTATGGTTACGTGAATAACAAACCAAACCCACGTTTGTCGACCGGCTCCGATATACCGGTTCGGCGGCGACGCTCATCCTGCATGGATTCACTGGTGACAGAATACATACTCAACATTGCAGACAAAAACAGAGATGGACCAACGCCTGTTGGAGAAATCACGGCCATCACATATCTATAATCACTTGAATACAAAGTGAGGTCACAGACAGCTTGGATGATGCATATGACAGATAAACGCTTGCTGTATGCTGGCACAAACAATTACGGCTACAGTAGACGACAGGAATAAATAAATGTCTCACCTATGTCGCCATTGCGAATGAGAATACATATATTTGTGTATAAATGGGTGTTGTTTGTGTGTGAATCTCAGAATTGCTCAGCAATGCATATACTAGCAGCCAAGACGTCCATCTCCGTAGGCAAATGACAAATTGAAGTTCTCTTTGACCATGCAGGCAGTCGACACACGCTGGCCAACAGCTGCCACAAAGTGAACGCGATAGAGGCAGCGCTGCTTCAACTGGAGACAGCCAAATATGTCAGATCCCTGACTGGCTGGAGACAGCCAGAGCTGATGGCTCCCTGACCAGCTGGAGACAGCCAGCGGTGACGGCTCAGCCAGCGGTGATGGCACCCTGACCATCTGGAGACAGCCAGCGGTGACGGCTCTCTGACCAGCTGGAGACAGCCAGCGGTGACGGCTCTCTGACCGGCTGGAGACTGCCAGCGGTGACGGCTCTCTGACCAGCTGGAGACAGCCAGCGGTGACGGACCAGCTGGAGACAGCCAGCGGTGACGGACCAGCTGGAGACAGCCAGCGGTGACGGCTCTCTGACCAGCTGGAGACAGCCAGCGGTGACGGCTCTCTGACCGGCTGGAGACAGCCAGCGGTGACGGACCAGCTGGAGACAGCCAGCGGTGACGGCTCTCTGACCGGCTGGAGACAGCCAGCGGTGACGGCCACGGACAACCGGCGGCGACAGTTCCCCCTCTGACCAAGCCGCCGTGGTCTGACCATCTGACCAAGCCGCCGTGCATCGTCCACCGACAGCCGGCCGCTCAAGGCTGCCCCACTGCAGCACGCAACGGCTCCCTAGAGGGCGCTGCATCCACAAACGAAGGCTGCAATGTCCTTGTTTGAGGTGTGCACGGTCGTCAGTCAGGTGACGCTCAGCGGTGACCAGCGAGTTTCGCAGGTCAGCGACGCGCTGGTTTCATTTGCTGGAACGTCAACCGACGTCAAATAAACCTATGGTGGTAGATGTTGGGGGTCACTGTCTTTCCAGTTGCCAAGACGATGTTCGTAAAATTCCTGGGTGGTAAAGTAACTAACATGCCTTGCCTGGTTTGTAATCCACTTATGCAGCGCCTGTGCAGCTTGTGTGGAATTGCACATCTCGTTCACTTTCATTTCGTCCAACATTGTGTTTGGTCAAGGTGGAGTTTGGCTCAGTCTTTGTTCGACAGCTCGATAACTTACGTATCACACGCCTCTCAGTTGACATGAGCATGCTGAGAAATAAAACTCCTGCTCAACGTCTTTGTGGTCATTGGTAAATTATTTTTATGACCACATCACCATCAAAGCTATTCACAGGCGTAATCCTGGTTACGGATGCAGTCGGAAACCAACAACTAGCCTTATCTTATCCGCCTGCAACGAGCTAATGCACCGACCGGCAAGAGCTGCTTGTTGGCGTCACCCCTGCGTCACAGCCCGCGCTCTGGCCGAGATTGGCGCGATCCGCGCCCATCAGTCGGCACAGATACCGACAATAGTCGACAGCGTCGCTCCTAGAGCGGGCTCACCGGCCACGCAGCAGGACACCGGAGGGTGGCGCGCCGATCCGCAGCGTTGGCGGGGGGAGGGGGGGGACGGACGGGGGCGGGCTGGGAGGCGGCGGGGGCGGTCCGGGCGGTGGCGGCGGCGGCGGCGGGGCGCGCGCGCACGGCCCGCGCCGGCCGTCGCCAGTGCAGTGCCGGGAGCGGGCCGCACCGCACGTGTCCGGCCCGGCCGCCGCCCGGGAGTGCCGCCGCCGCCGCCGCCGCACCATGTGAGCGCCCGGTCGCCGCACGCCACCCCCCGCTCCATAAGCGCGAGTACAATGCGACTGCGCCGTCCGGCGTCGCCTCGCACCCCGATCTCCGCCGCCAGCGATGGCCGGCTCGGCCTGTGCTCACGTGCTCAGTAGCGCCGCCATGGAGGACCTGGTGACCACCAGCGGGCTGCCGCCGCCGGCCTACAATGCGGACGTGGCCTGCGGTGTTGCGGACAGAGGGCGCCAGCGAATCCTCACCGGAGCACGTGCTGGTGGCCGTGCTCAAGTCACTGGCCATGGGCCTCATCATCGTCTCGTCCGTGCTGGGCAACCTGCTGGTGATTTGCAGCGTGATCCGCTACCGCCGGCTGCGCGTCATCACGAACTACTTCATCGTGTCGCTGGCGTTCGCCGACATGCTGGTAGCGCTCGGAGCTATGACGTTCAACGCCAGCGTGCAGGTGAGCGACCGCTGGCTCTTCGGCCACGTGGTGTGCGACCTCTGGAACTCGCTGGACGTGTACTTCAGCACCGCGTCCATCCTGCACCTCTGCTGCATCAGCGTGGACCGCTACGTGGCAATCGTGCAGCCGCTCGAGTATCCCATGAAGATGACGCGCAACAAGGTGCTGCTGATGATCGCCTGCGTCTGGACCTTCCCCATCCTCATCTCGTTCATCCCGATCTTCTTCGGCTGGTATACGACGGAGACGTACCTGCGGCAGCGCGAGCGCCAGCCCACCTCCTGCGAGTGGGAGGTGAACGACTGGTTCGCGGTGGTGTCGTCCTCCATCTCGTTCTGGATCCCAGCCGTCATCATGGTCTGCATGTACCTGCGCGTGTTCCGAGAGGCGGACAGGCAGGAGCGGCTGCTGTACAGGGCGCGCGGCAGAGCGCAGCTGCTCGTCACGCACAATGGAGGCGCCGATGGAGGTAAGCGCTGGCGGCGACCGCCACCGCCCAGGCCGCGGGCTCGACGCCCGCACCCAGCGGCCCTCCGCGCACTCGTTCGACGGTCTGCGCTGAGATGTACCTGCCGCATGTGTTCAGAGCTCGACACCGTGATGGACGCCACCCGCGCTCACGCTACGTCACAGCGTCGCTCCAGAGATGTCCGAGCTTGGCATGCCCTGCTGTCCTGTCCATGACACCGACAGGACACCAAGTCTCCTTCGGGAGAGGCACACACCGATCACGTTACGTTGAGAATAACGGGACCACCCAGGCATCTCCTTGTTGGCGTCGCTTGACCCGCATCGGTCCAGTGTGTGTCACCATATAACGGCGGGAGAGCACTTTATGCCGTGAAATTGGGGTCCCGCGTGGACGACGTATGTGTTTGTTTTCTCAACCACCGGATTTCAAAACAGCTCCATTCCGTGGATGCTAGGCTCTTGACGAGAATTTATGGCATCTGCCGGCTTGATACTTACGACCTATTGGGGTTTCAGCAAGTTAGGCGTTTTGTTCGTCAAAGTGTTCTGGCATCGCAATCACTTAATGAACAACATAGCTGAATAACACAGAATAACAATGGCATAGCATAATAACGTGAACGTGCATTTATTTCTTATTTTAGTTGTCTGTTTATCAGTCATTCAAAAATAAAATTCGTCATGATTTTATGGCGCTTTAATAGTCCAAGTCGAATGACTCTTTTATTATGCCGTCGGCATTGAAATGCCTGCGAAACGCAAACCGATCTGCATCGCCCCAAAGTTTTCAGCTTCGAGGAACTCATACGCTGATGGAACGGCTGGCTCTGTATCCCCCATTATCCTCTCATTATCCACACTCCAGTCTGCCCGCTGCCAAGGCTAAACTCAACGCGCACCGCCACACGCCGATGGTGAGCCAGGTGGTCTACCATATCTATCAATATGAGCTCCGCCTGATGTCAATATTTTACTTTATTGGTTTACATTCGCGGGCCCTAGCAGCCTCCGAGAGAATTGAGACGTGCCGTCCGAATCAAAGCGATCCCAGGGATCCAATTACAGGTTATGACGTCGACTAGTGCATTAAACAAACGCGCTGGCCGGCCCGCGGAACTGAAATATTAATAAACATCCATAAAGCGAGAAACTTCGGGATATTTTCAGCACGATGTGTGCCACCGACAGGCCTGGCAGCGGTCCGCGGCTGCCAACGCGCGCTGAATCCATTGCCGGAACTATCCGCCAACGCGTCCGCGGCGTGACGCGTTGCCTGGCCCGTGGCGTGCACTCTGTGGGACGCGCAGTGTGGAGCACTGCCGTGCCCGCGGCGTGGCGCGCTGTCGTGCCCGCGGCGTGGGCGGTGCCGTGGCCGCGGCGTGGCACGCTGCCGTGCCCGCAGCGTGGCACACTACTGTGGGCGCACACACATCAATCCTCGCCAGAGCTGTCGTCTGTCAGTCAGCAGTGATCAGCAATGGCACGGCGGCCTTCGGTGGCCTTCGGTGGCGTCTGGCCGTGACCTGGCGATGACCCGGCCTCCCGGCCAGACCCGCCTGGCCAGCGGCAGGGTCGAGAGTGTCATCGCTTCCGCCGCCTGTTGACATAGGACATACCGGTGGGGGGGGGGGGGGTGTAGGGGGCATTGCTGTGTATGGCGGGCCGGGCCCCGCCACACGGCCGACACGCGAGTGACCCCGTTTGTGTCTCACGCCCGGGCCCTGGTGGGCTGTGTGTCGGGCAGATGTTCCCGAGGTTCGATCGGCTGTATTCTGAGTGTTGTAGGTGCTCGACTGGGCGCTGCTGCCGTGCACGCAGCAGGGGTCGACCTGACCGGCCGCGCAACCGGCCAGCCCCCAAGCTCAGCCTGCCTCTGCCTGCGCCGCCTGTCGCGTGCGTGTGGTGGCTTCATTACCGCGCCAAGAATCCAGTCGTCACGCAATCGGGCGGACCGCCTTCTCAATCTGCGTCCGGTCTGCAGCGTGGCAGACATGTCGTCAGCCGGCCGGCACCGACTGCTCTGTCACCCGCACGACGGCCACCACTTGGCTTATCGCTAAACACGGCGCGAGGTATGTGCGACGCTGCTTGGCACAGCTAGTTGCGAAACGATTTACGAAAATCGGCAGCTGCCCAACGGCAAGGAGCATGCATGTCGCGACTGGCATATTTTAAGCTCTGTTTTCACGGCGTAACAATGCGGGCGGCAGTACCCCGTAATCATTGCAGCGTAATGCTTTGGCTGTTGTTTCAAAACGGTCATCATGTTTCGTGAAAACAGCTGCAGCGCTCCCTTCGCGGCCTGATTGGCGGCCACCCGCCGTCTTCCCCCTTCCACGGGCGGCGCGTGCGGAGGCAAACACCCCTTCAAGCGCGAATGACGCGGCCGGGCGCCGGTGCAAACCATCGGCGGCCGCTCGTAACTAGCGGACGCAGAGAGCCGACCACCGTTACGGCGACAGGTGTATCATCAGCGGCCTCGCCGCTTGTAAACAGGTGCCGGCAGCGAGCGGCGCCAGCCAAGCCGACGGGGGGCTGCACTCGCCACGGGCCTGACGCGAGCGGCGCCGCTCGGCGACGCCTGGCGAGCCGGTGGAGCGTGACGTCTTGGCTCGGCGCGCACCCGGCCAGCGGTGACGCCGTCTCATCAGGGAGCCGGCGGGCGCCGCGCGTCCGCCGTATGTCACGCGTCCGGCCGTCTGTCACGCGTCCGGCCGTCCGTCATTCAGTGCCGACCGGGAGCCCTGACCACTGTACGGACACGGCTGGGCCCGTCCAGGGTCGCCGCGGCCCGTGCTTCCGTGGACGTGTCAGTGCGATGACGAGAGATGCTAAGGGCAGTCAGTGCTCGTCAAGAGCGAGAAGATCACCCGGGCACCCGAAACCCCGTGTGTGACCGAGCATGGCGTATGGGAACGAATCGGACAACCGGCCGATCCACTGTGAGACACACTGGGAAGAAGCCCTGATACGACGGGAGAGATGGGTAGCCCGATACGATGGAAGCTGAACATATATCGAGAGCACGCCGAGATTTGATAATCGATCGTCATAAAACTGACGGTTGCGGCAGTGGCTGGTTCCAAGGAGTAATGGGGAGAGACGAGCCGTTCGGTACGAGAGATGCTGGTCTGAGGAGAACCCAGACTGACGATGACGCGGTCGAAAGCCGTGTCGACAGACTCGGTGGAGACCTATCCATCGGAGGGATGGGTGATGGACTGATGAGCCCGCACCAGCTGGGCGGCAGGTGCCCATCATTTACCCTTCGCTATCTCTCCCGTCAACCGAGCGCCAGCCGGAATGGCGATAACCAGATAAAGAAATGTTCGCCTAATGAGAAGCCCCATGACCCTCACTAATGTAAACAGCGGAATCCTGGCCACTGCGGAAATTTGAGCCAAACCAATTTGCCGTTAATGCAGTATTGGCGCGGGTGGCGTTTGAATGACGGTTGATTCGGGCAGTTTTCGGTTGTGAGTCCATTCATCCCAATGTACATCGATGGTGAGAGCTTGTGCCGCCAACAGCAGGCATGACTGGACTGACGAGCCCGTGTGGGGCGGCGGCTCAGCCCCATCGGGGCAGGCTCCACACGCGCCCCGGCACGACGACGGAACGGCCGGGTCAGCTGCTGAGCGCCGGCGGCAGTCGGCCGGTCGTTCAAAGGTCGCGGTCGGAAACACGCGAACCCATTGACTTTCGTGTCTGAATCCATGGTTGCACTATTTATAGCCTTCATTAGCATACTGGGTTGGATAACGCCGGGTCTCGTTTTGCTATTCATATGTCAACCCCCAACTCGATCCGATTGTGAAATGGGCTTCGGACTTTTGGTTCCATTAAGCTCTCAACTGGCATGCTGGAAGTTGAGTCGTCACTGTGCCAGAACTTGACATGATATTCGTCATCAGCAGCAAAGTTTGAACGCAACGTATAATTGCTCGACTTTCATTTCATATATTAAATGCCATCAGTCATGGTTATAATAGATGATGAATGTTGTCACCCTTCATCTTGGTTCGATGTTGGCGTGCTCTTAAGAACCGTAACGCTGATCGCACTCCCAATGGGCGACAAACTACGAGACCTCTTCTCCCAAACAAGCATGTAGCAAGCCTTCTGAAAATCATCGCAGAAATAGTCCACGATAGTTGAGAAAGGTGAGAGGACACCACGCCGATATAGGCCAAAAATTACGAAAAGGTGAGGCAGGGAACAGAAAAAAGTGAATGAGTAACAGCGGAAGAGCGACTGAGTGACTGAATCGACGAGTGGGTGATTTCTTGACTAAGCGTGTGGTTGATGAGTAAGAGAGTGGAACAGGAAACAGAATGATGGCAGAGTGGAAAGGGACGAGTTTGTGCAAGTGATGACAGTGAAAAGGCTAGGCGCAATCCATTATTCGACTGCTTCAAAGCTTCATGACAAAATGCTGCTCATCCATTTTGTTTTTAAAACACCGATATTCCGTTGAAACCTTCTAAGATTATCGGCGCTAGCTGACATAGCCGGCGAAAAGGTGATATGGATAATACAGTAGTTGTAGCCTTATTCCTCGGAGCAAAACCAGGAAAATGGAGATATGTCGAAACAGTATCAAAACAATAGCAGAAAATATTGTTTCGATAAGGGTGTGCTGCCGAAACATCTACCCAACTATATTTCCATTCTCCTGGCTTTTCTCCGAGGAATAAGGCTATTTTACTACTGTCTTATCTATGTGAATAATGTTCCTCGCTAATGCACTGAACAGCTTACGTAATTTGAAAAAGGATTGTCCATCCGGGATAGCACAGTCATCAAACATACATGCAATTCCCTAACAGCGCCTTCCCGGCTCGTCTTTCCTTGGCAGCCTTGCTTTAAACCTGGCGTTTTACCAATGTCCTTACCGGTACTTGTGATCAATGTGATTCGTACGCAACGACGTCATAAAGCATGATAAATCGCTGTGTCCGTGGTAGTGTCAAACAAAACCGCGCCGCACCGCGTCCA